TGCAAAAGCTGTCATGTCATGTCAGGTCATGTGCCATCACGTGTCATGACATGGGATGGTATGTCACTGCTGCAGTCCCTTCTTGTTCGGTTTGAAGCGCACTTGCTGGCACCATGGGCATAACAATGAAAGAGCAGGGCAGTTGGAGGGGCATGGGGATGGGATGTTATTCAGGATGCTGAATATACATTGCACATGGTCATTTGGATGTGAGAGATGGCATGTCATTGCTGTTCCCTTCTAGTGCAGGTCGAAGCAGACACACCCATACATGCAACTGGACACATGACACATGCATGTAATTCAGACAGACCACACAAACATTTAATGTAGTCCAAGTGTTTTTGAGCTGATTAAAAAACCATGTCAACCCACCCAGACACCCCACAACCAGTAACCAATGCATCTAAAGCAGAAGGGAGAGCAAGAAGTGCCACCATGCCAACGCACCTTCAGCTGCGAGAGGTCAGCTACCTGCAGCTGCGAGAGGTCAGCTACCTGCAAGTCCATGCAGGGCCCCTGAGAAATCTCACAACAGGGATATCATCTTCATGACATCCCCAGCGCACCTTCAGAAGAGAGAGGAGAATAAGTCTCCTGCACTTCGAGTGCTTGCGGGGCTTTGAAACGTCTCAACTCAAGGCCTTCTACCTTCAGCCCATCACACCACCAACCAACGCACCTTGAGCAGGGAGAGGAAGTAAGCTTGCTGCTCGTGCATGGGGTGGTCTTGAGACGTCTCAGAAGAACAACATCATACCCTGATTTCCGTTACATCCTCAACGCACCTTGAGCAGGGAGAGGAAGTAAGCCGCCTGCTCATGCATGTGGCCGCTGGAACCGTCAAATGGCAGCTTGGGCTTCTCGCTCTATGGTTCAAACGATTGGCAATGAGACATAAGCATTTTTCTAGGCACCTAAAAAACTGAAACGAGTGCGTATAAAAAAGGGTTACAATCGGCAATGGAAAAGAAAATGCTGCGACGATAAAGAAGAGACGAGATGGGTTGAAAGATGAGATGGAAAAATGAGTGAGGTAATCGGATAGTTCTGGCTAGAAGGGGACGATGGAGTGAGGACGGGCAAACCAATGGACTACAACGGATGTTACCCAAAGGCCAACAGCTTTGATGGCATCGAGTCGCTCCTTAAGGAGTGTACCCTGAGGGAGAAAGGGCCAAGGAGGGGACAAAGAAGGGGCAAGGGTGAGCACGTGAGCAAGTGGGGGCATACTTGGGGTAGTGACGATACACAAACATATCGAGTCGCTCCTTAAGGAGTGTATCCTGAGGGAGAAAGGGCCAAGGAGGGAGATCGGAAGGAGGGCGGACGAAGCAACACGTTACGAGTCACGTTGTAACGGGGCAAGGGAAGGGCAAGCAAGAAGGCAGACAGTTGGGGGTGGGTTGGATGGGAAGCAGGGAATAAAAAAAGGAAGAGGAGAAAATTAGACAGTGCTACACACAGTACATAAAATCTACACTACACACAGCATGTGAAAACGTGGATAGTGCTACACACAGTACACTAGTGAAAGGAGAGAATAAGCATAGTATTATGTGGTACGATGTGCTATATTGGTTCTATATTTGATGTGATAGGGCAAATTCACATTTCCCTACACCCAGTGCACACTCCTCACCCACTTAGGTGACGACCAGTTTAGGGTCGGGGCGAAACACCAGTTTAGGGTCGGGGCGACACACCAGTTAAGGGTCGGGGCGAAACAACAGTTTAGGGTCGGGGCGAAACACCAGTTTAGGGTCGGGGCGAAACACCGGTTTAGGGTTGGGGCGAAACACCAGTTTAGGGTCGGGGCGAAACACCAGTTTAGGGTCAGGGCGAAACACCAGTTTAGGGTCGGGGCGACACACCAGTTTAGGGTCGGGGCGACACACCAGTTTAGGGTCGGGGCGACACACCAGTTTAGGGTCGGGGCGAAACACCAGTTTAGGGTCGGGGCGAAACACCAGTTTAGGGTCGGGGCGAAACACCAGTTTAGGGTCGGGGCGACACACCAGTTTAGGGTCGGGGCGACACACCAGTTTAGGGTCGGGGCGAAACACCAGTTTAGGGTCGGGGCGAAACACCAGTTTAGGGTCGGGGCGACACACCAGTTTAGGGTCGGGGCGACACACCAGTTTAGGGTCGGCGGTCGCCGGTGCGTAGGACGTAGGTGCACGGGCCAGTACCCCCACCCCTCTGGCGTGCAGTGTACCACTCACGGAGCTGCTGAGGGGAGGGAATGTCACGAGTGCGCTGCTGCTGCTGCTGGCGCTGACCACCACCGGAGCCGCCCCTCTGTGCAGCGCCACCCCGACCAGCTCCACCTCCTCCACCGCCTCCTCCTCCACCGCCGCCACCTCCGCTCCCACCGCCACCGCCACCGCCGCCTCCGCCTCCACTGCCGCCACCGACACCTCCGCCCCCGCCACCACTCCCACCGCCACCCCCACCCCCTCCACCGCCTCCACCGCCGCCTCCACCGCCCCCGCTAGCTCCTCCAGTGCCCCTGCCCCCCTTGCCCTTGCCAGGGCGACGTCTCCCGCTAGGGGTAGACGCCGCACCGACCGACTCAAGCCCAACGAGGTCGGCCGCAGCAGCAGAGGCAACAGAGGGCAAAAGGGGGGAGGGGGAACACCCCTCAAAGATGGGGGTGCGAGGGTCACCACGAGAGGCTCCTACAGCGACTATGCTCTTCTCTGCTGCTAGGAGGGACTGCTCGAGGAGGTCAACGGTGAGAGTGGTGGGGCAAACGGAGAGGAAGTGGTCCCTGACTACGCGAAGGGAGTCAGGGAGCCGGGTGACTATGTAGTAGAGGGTGATGTACATGGGGGGGGGGGTCTTGGCGCAGAACTCAGCAGGAAGCGCAGCGCGGTAGCGAGTGTCACTAGTGCGGAGGTGCGTAATGAGGTCAGCGACTGTGGGAAAGGCAGCAAGGTCAGGGAAGAGGTACGGTAGCATGAGGCGGCTCAGTGCAGCAGTGGCAGGGGAGGAGTAGCGCGCAACTACAGCGTCGTACAAGGTCTGAGCACTCTTGTACTGGCTAAAGTGCGCACGCTCAGAGGTAGGCAGGTGGCGACGCACAGCAAGACGTGCAGCAGCATCGCGAGTGGCCCACTGTGAGCGAACAGTGGCGTCGGCATCAGCAGCAGGGGCAGGAGAGGCACCAGAGGTGAGGTCAAAGAGGGAGAGACCGTCTGCCCTATCGCACTGTAGGAAAAGCTGCAGGTCATCTACCCAGACGTCAAAGTCAATGGCCCGACCCTCAGCGTCAAAGGCGAGGACACTATGGGTAGCCATGACAGCAGTAGACTAGCAGCGCGAACAGTAGGGTGAGGGCAGTGCAGGGACAGAGGCGCTGCACTTACCGGACAGGGCGACTCGGGTGGCTCAGCGGCTCGGCAACTCGGCGGCTCGGGCGGCTCGGGCGGCTCGGCGGTACGGCGGCTCGGCAGCAAGCGCGGCCCGGCAACATGGCGGCGCGGGCGGCTCGGGCGGTACGGCGGCTCGGGCGGTACGGCGGCTCGGCGGTACGGGCGGCTCAGGTGGCGCGGCGAGGCCGCGTGGGGAGCGGCGGCGGGGCCGAGTGGAGCGGCGTCGGCGGGTGCAGTCAGCTGCGGCAGCAGCCGCGGCCCCTAGGGAGGTGGTGGCGGCTGCTGCTGGCGACGGCTGCGGCTGCTGCTGCAGGGACGGCGGCGGCCGCTGCGGTAGGGGCGGCGACAGTGGGCCGAAGAGGGCGGTGCGAGGGGCCGCGGAGGGCGGCGACTGGCCGTAGGGGGGGGGGGGGGGGGCGTGAGGGGCCGCGGGAGGGGCCGTAAGGGGCCGCGCGAGGGGCCGGAAGGGACGGCGCGAGGGGCCGCGACGCGAGGAGCCGCGGAGGGCGGCGACGGGCCGTGAAGGGGCGGCGCGAGGGGCCGCGGAGGGCGGCGACGGGCCGTGAAGGGGCGGCGCGAGGGGCCGCGGAGGGCGGCGACGGGCCGTAGGGGGGGGGGGCCGTGAGGGGCCGCGGGAGGGGCCGTAAGGGACGGCGCGAGGGGCCGTAAGGGGCCGCTGAGGGCGGTGCGAGGGGCCGACGGGCGGCGCGAGGGGCCGTAAGGGGCCGTAAGGGGCCGCGCGAGGGGCCGTAAGGGGCCGTAAGGGGCCGACGGGCGGCACGAGGGGCCGTAAGGGGCCGTAAGGGGCCGCGCTAGGGGCCGTAAGGGGCCGTAAGGGGCCGCGCTAGGGGCCGTAAGGGACGGCGCGAGGGGCCGTAAGGGGCCGCAAAGGGCGACGCGAGGGGCCGTGAGGGGTCGTGAGAGAGCGCGACTGTGGGAGCGAAGCGCGCTCCGGGCAGGAAAAAAAAATTTCGTGGTGGGCTTTAGGAAGCGTTCCCACTAGGGAACCTGCTCTGATACCATGAGAAGAAACGAGGGAATGAATGAACTATGAATGAATTGGGTACAAGTGCTAACCCTAATTGGGTTGTACCCCTTATGGGCTACCCCACTATAGCCTACACAATATGCATGAGCTATAATGTTCTGACACTTTAGGGTCGGGGCGACACACCAGTTTAGGGTCGGGGCGACACACCAGTTTAGGGTCGGGGCGAAACACCAGTTTAGGGTCGGGGCGACACACCAGTTTAGGGTCGGGGCGACACACCAGTTTAGGGTCGGGACGACGCACCAGTTTAGGGTCGGGGCGACGCACCAGTTTCTGCGAGTCAGGCTTGAGAACCACCCCCATGGCAACGTGCTTGTATAAGAAGTAAGGATAGAACGGCACCAACGCATAAGGTATGCGCGGCACTATGTCCAAGTCGTTGACGATGCGCCAGCTGTCCCCCACCAGCTGGTTCGGTTGGGTTGGGATAGGTTGGGACGGGTTGGGAGGAGGGGATGAGAGGAAGGGGCAAGCGGAAAGGAGGAAGGGGGAAAGGGGGAAGGGGGACGCCAAGAGGAGCGACAGATAAATGAAACAGGTGTGTGGAGACAGAATCAACCTATATCCAATGCCTATGTATCCCTTTGGAAATTAACTTGCACTTGTCCTTGGCATTTCCCTGCTCTGAGGGATCTACAGCTAAGCGATACGATACGCACCTGGTTGAATCGAGCAGCAAAGGCATGGTTGCCCACACGGGGCGAGCCGAAGTTGTAGAGAGAGAGGGTGAACCCGTGCTGCCTGTGATGGTGGCAAGGGGAGATAGGAAGCAGGAGGACCTGCAGTTTTATGTACGTATACACATGTAAGGAATTGGGGTAGAATTCATGCCTTAACGCTCAAATTGTAACAAATGAGCTCAACGCTCTTAAGTACATAGGAAGTGAGAAAGAAGGGATGGGTTGAGAATCGGGGGCAATCTTTAAGGAGATTGGTGGGTTGGAGATTTCGGTTTGTCACATTTGGGTAAGGTTGGATGTTGGTGTAACACCCAGCCCACAAAACCTACAATTACACTAAACTAGGATATAAAGTACAAAATACAACGGTTGAGATCAGGTGAACTTCAACAATACATCCTTGAATTTATATATGAGGGCCCACCTAGTTCATTTTGTCACCTTCACCTTCACCACACTCACTTCTTGAGGTCGGACTGGGCAAGGTCGTATGTGAAAAGTGTGGAGAGAGCACCACCCAGGCTGTGACCCGTGACCATGATGTGATACCTGGTGGACATGAAGGATGGCATGGCGATGATGGCGTGGCGATGATGGCATGATGATGATGGCATGATGATGATGGCATGATGATGATGGCATGATGATGATGGCATGATGATGATGGCATGATGATGATGGCATGATGTTGATGGCATGATGATGATGGCATGATGATGATGGCTTGACGGCATTGTGAGAGGAAACACATGGGTTATACTGATGGGTTACACGGAGACAAAAACATTTCAAAAAGATGTGCTTATAAAGTGTCTGGAGGTGGTGAAAGGCATGCAGTGGTGCTTTTAGAGTCGCCTCAAAACAAGGATGTGCTTATAAAGTGTACGCAGTCGGAACTAGAAACGCGCACTCATGCAAACCGAATCAGAACCGTTCTCTGAGATCACCCTAAAGACCCTCATGCAAACCGGAAAACGTCTGACCAATTTTTCCATGCTTAATCCGTTGCTGTCCAACGGTCCTCTCCGCTCCTTTCCACATCTCCTACTCGTTGCTGCCCACTTTTCATGCCCACTTTTCCTTGAAGGAGGCGAGGAGGATAGCTTTGAGCATTGAGCAGCACAATGAGGTGTGGCTTTGATCATTTGAGGCGTCTCAGAAATCAATCCTAGGCTCACTCACTCACGTTAGTTTGAAACTCACTTCTCGTTGGAGGAGGAGAGGATTGCCTTGAGCAGCACGATGAGGCGCGGTTTCACGGACTTGTGGCCGTTCAGGAAGCCTCTGTGCGCCTGATGGGGGAATGATGGGGGGAGTGGTGGGGGGAGGCACTCTGGAAGTGCTACCAACAGTACAGATGGTAGCACCATACAACTTTCCATGATGGTAGCGCCATACAACTTTCCATGATGGTAGCACCATACAACTTTCCGTGGAAAGTCAACAACCACCTGCAGGAAACCAACAAAAGGTCTTCCATTGCCCCTTGCCATAGAACTTTCATGCCAATCGAGCACCAAGTAAAGACCCTTACCACCATGCAACTTTCATGCCTGCATTGTCCTGTTAGTCACCTTTCAAGGCAACCCCAGTCTGCGTGGCTGAAACATCCAATATCCATGCCTGTATTTGAGTCGACTCAGAAGTCTCCATGCTTGTAGTGTGCTTCATCACGTTACCTGAACATCTGCCTTGTTGTCCTCTTCCGTTAGATCTGAGTCGAATCTGTTATTGGGAGGCGGCTCGGCGGCAGGTAGAGGGAAGGGAGGAGGGAAGGAAGGAAGGGAGGAGGGAAGCTGCATGGTTATGCGTCAGCACGAGGGAATAAGGTGCTGCATGGTTATGCAACAGTGCGGGGAATAAGGTGCTGCATGGTTATGCAACAGTGCGGGGAATTATGGTGCTGCATGGTTATTGCTACTCACTTGTTCTCGATAAACCTCAAGTCGGTCCGAACATCCATCCACATATCCTTGAACTCCCGGAGTGCCTGGTGGTGTTTGGTGGATGGGTGTGAGAGGGTGTGAGAGGGTGTGAGAGGGTGTGAGAGGGTGTGAGAGGGTGTGAGAGGGGGTGAGAGGGTGTGAGAGGGGGTGAGGGTGTGAGGGTGTGAGAGGGTGTGAGGGTGTGAGAGGGTGTGAGAGGGTGTGAGAGGGTGTGAGGGTGTGAGAGGGTGTGAGGGTGTGAGAGGGTGTGAGAGGGTGTGAGGGTGTGAGAGGGTGTGAGAGGGTGTGAGAGGGTGTGAGAGGGTGTAAGAGGGTGTGAGAGGGTGTGAGAGGGTGTGAGAGGGTGTGAGGGTGTGAGAGGGTGTGAGGGTGTGAGAGGGTGTGAGAGGGTGTGAGGGTGTGAGAGGGTGTGAGAGGGTGTGAGGGTGTGAGAGGGTGTGAGAGGGTGTGAGAGGGTGTGAGAGGGTGTGAGAGGGTGTGAGAGGGTGTGAGATGGTGTGAGAGGGTCATGGCCACGTTGCACATACGTACAAAAGTCTCCAACTTTCCACCTCCACCTATCCACTTCCCACCTGTCCAGGTCCCACCCTCCCAACTCTCATATCGCAGCATTCAACCTCCTAGCTCTGCTCCTAATCCCCATCACCTCTCTCTTCCTCCTCGTCTCCCCCCTCCAAACCACACCGCACCATGCCACACCACCAACATAAAGAGGTAAACTGAAAAGAGATCAACACACCCCATCCCTTTGCTTCTCACTTTCCCACTTCCCACCTGTCCACCTTTGAGCGTGGCCTTATTGACCACCTCAGTGCCTCGGACACAGTTAGCTTCGACCTCCGTGGGACCGTTTCCCTCAACACGCCCACCTCCACGGCCAAGTCCCGTTCTCATCTGTTCAATCCCCCCACCTGTCCGTCTGGCCTGATTGACCACCTCAGGCTCAGTGCCTCGGAACGACACCACCGACCTCTTCCTCCTCCTTGGCTCCTCCACACTCCCATCTCCTTCCCCCATCTCTTTGCTTCCCACCTGTCCGTCTTCGAACGTGGTTTTATTGACCACCTCAGTCCCTCGGAATGACACCACCAGGCTCTCTCTCTCTCTCTCTCTACTTGCATACCCATCCCCAAAGGGCCCCAATCCTCTACCTTGCTCCCACCCTCACCTGCCCGTCTTCGAACGTGTCCTTATTGACCACCTCAGTGCCTCGGAATGACACCACCAGCCTCTTCCTCTGCGGGTCCTTGTCCCTCCACACGCCCACCTGCACGCTTGAAGGAAAGATCAGCGAGACAGCAATGAAGCAACAACCTAACGCGCTGGACAGAGGCGATTTTTGAGTCGACTCAAAGATCAGCGAGACAGCAATGAAGCAACAACCTAACGCGCTGGACAGACTTGGGTAAAAGAGCAATCACGACCTCATCCACACAAGAAGTAACTTGGGAATCAGTGGGAGCTCGTAGAGGGATGCCTTAAAACGAGACTCAAAACACAACTCCAGAATGCGACTAAAAACGCGACTCAAAACGCAACTCCAGAATGAGACTAAAAACGCGACTCAAATTCTGCCTTAAAAAATGATCCAGAAGCCACCCACCTGAGTGTCCGTCTCTTCACTATTCAGGACACGCTCTCAAACGCCGACTTGAAATATTCCTGCTGCCCGCCCGCAGCTTCCCGCGAAAGGTTTTCCCAAGCGGCAAGCGCCGCGGCATCAGCTTTGAGTGCAAAAAGAGCCTCAACTGCCTGTTGGTCCGGGAGTGAGAGCCCATAGGCTGCTGCTTCGGCCTCGGATTTCGCGCCTGCCTGAGGTACTGTTGCGGACTTGGGAAGAGAGGTGGTGAGAACCTTCTGGAGGATGGGGAGAGGCTCGAAGCTGGGAGAGCAGGGGAGGGAGGAAAGGCAGGCAGGGTGTGAGTGAAGAAGAGTGGGAGACAGAGTGGGAGCAGGTGAGTAGGCGGAATTGGGAAGCGGGGTGGTGAGAAGCGTCTGGAGGATGAGGAGAGGCTCGAAGCTGGGAGGGGATGAGTGGGAAGGCGAGGGAGGAAAGGAAGGCGGGGTGTGAAAAAGAGTGGGAGACAGAGCGGGAGACAGTGAGAAGGCAGACGTGGGAAGAGGGGTGGTGAGAAGCCTCTGGAGGATGGGGAGAGGCTCGAAGCTGGGGTGAGTGGGGAGGGCAGGGGAAGTGTCACAGGATCGAATTTCCACTCGAGAATGTTCCACTAAAGGTGAGTACAAGGCGTATTTATACTCAGAAATACATAGAAACAACAGATAATCCGAACCTTCGGGAACGCGCTCTTCTAGAATAGATAATCACAAGTGCGTATAAGCACGCAAGCCCATTGGCACTTCGGATTATGGCGAGATTACGCCTTGTACACCACTGTCGGTGCTGTCTGTTATAATCGGAGCTTAGGCTAAGAAGCCATAGCTAGGTTTTAGGGTATATGAAAGAGAAATAGGAGAAGAGGGGGTTTCACTAGCAGCAATGAGGATACATATAGCAAACCCTAGATGGGTTGTACTCGCTATAGAGCACCCCACTACAGGCTAGAGAATAACATTCTGACACACCCCCATAGCCAAAGTGGGGTGTAATCAGTACAATGAGCAAGCAGGTATAGAGCAGGAGTTCACAAAGGTAAGCAAAGTTAGAGCTAATCACAGAGGGCAAGTGAGGAGGAGGAGAGACTGTGGAGGGAGAGAAGATGGGAGGCAACGACTGAAGCTGCAGAGGCACGGGCACAGGAGGGGCTGACTCAGAGGCTACCGAAGCAAGGGCGATGGACTACTGGAGTGACTGGCTCCGCGGCTATAGACGAGCGGCAGGAGCAACGGACCCACTGGCGACTGGTGCAACAGGCTCACTGGCTACCGAAGCAAGGGCGACGGACTACAGGCGCTGCAGGCGACAAGACAGCTACCTTCACACAACCTCCTCCAACTGCCCCACTCCCCTCTCACACACCCCCTGTTCAAACCCTAGCTCCACTCCCACAGCACCCCCCTTAAACCCTAAACCCTAGGCTCCCACACACCCACCCCCCTCAGCGGCAGCTGCAGCAGTGGGAGACAAGGGAGGAGGAGGAGCAAGGGGAGGAACACATAACCACCACCCCCACACCCGCCACCCCCATGCTCTGCACCCCACACCCCCAGCACCACGGAAGGCACGGGGGGGGGGGGAACGGGATGGGCTGCAGGTGCGGGCTGCTCCAGGGGCGGCTGCTGCAGTTGCGGGCTGCTCCAGGGGGGGGGGGGGGGGGGGGGGTTTCTGCAGATGAAAGGTAGGAGGGAGGGGAGGGGAAGGGCGCGGCCACCAGGGCGCCCCGACGGGCGACGAGCTAGGGAGCCGCGCGGGCCCCCGAGAGCGCTCCGACGGGCGACGGGAGGGGACCGCGCGCGGGCCCCCAAAGCGCCGCGACGAGGCGACGGTTGGGGCCGGCGCGCGGCCCCCAAGGCGCCGCGACGAGGCGACGGGAGGGGCCGGCTCGCGGGTCCCCAAGGCGCCGCGACGAGGCGACGGGAGGGGCCGGCTCGCGGGCCCCCAAAGCGCCGCGACGAGGCGACGGGAGAGGCCAGCGTGCGGGCCCCCAAAACGCCGCGACGAGGCGACGGTTGGGGCTGGCGCGCGGGCCCCCAAGGCGCCGCGACGAGGTGACAGGAGGGGCCGGCGCGCTGGCCCGCAGGGCATCGCACGAAGCAGGAACCCGCCGCGCGCCTCGGGACGCACGGCGGGCAGAAAACCGCCACGCGCCCGGAGCGCGTGGCGGGAAGAAAAATAGGAGGTCGCGCGCCACGGGGCGCGCGACACACAGTAGGGCAGCGGAAGCAGGTGGGCCCACAGGCCAGGAGCGTATCGCTCTGATAGCATGTTATAATCGGAGCTTAGGCTAAGAAGCCATAGCTAGGTTTTAGGGTATATGAAAGAGAAATAGGAGAAGAGGGGGTTTCACTAGCAGCAATGAGGATACATATAGCAAACCCTAGATGGGTTGTACTCGCTATAGAGCACCCCACTACAGGCTAGAGAATAACATTCTGACACTGTCGGTGCCGTATAATGTAAATGTCGGTGCCGAAAATACCAAATAAGTGAAATATTCGGAAAGCTCTAGAAAATAGAATAGTAGTCCGATTGAGGTGAAATAAAGTGCAAATGAAAGAGGAAAATAAGGAGAATAAGATGGAGTAAAAATATGGAAATGAGAAATATGTCGAACGTCGGCGTACTCTCACAGGAGGGAGGACATCCAGGGAGGGGATGTTGGAGCGGTGAGGGAATCTAATGAGGTGGGTTCGATGTACCTATGGTGCAGAACAGTATGTGAGGGTGAGAGCAAGAGCAGGACTGTGGGTGGGAATTGAGAGCGGAGACAGTGAAAAGGCGGACATCGGAAGAGGGGTGCTAAGAAGCCTCTGTAGCCTCTGAAGAGGCTCGAAGCTGGGAGGGGAGGGCATGGAGGGATGAAGTAAGAGGAGTAGTGAATTCGGATCCAAACTGAAGCAACATGACGAAGAGAAGGCTCTGAGATAGAAAGGATGAGACATAATTCTGAGGTGACTAAAAAATGGGTCCAAATAGAGGAAAGGAATGAAATTGCAGGGAGTTTTGGCATGCCCTAAAGCTCGACGATGGAATGGGATCAAGGCACAATCAGCAGAACAGAGTAGGTGCGACAGGTGGATTGGGAATAATCCACCTGCCATAGGCGCTGCCTCTCTGGCGAACTCACCCCTAACTCTAACCCCCCATATCCCCGCTCTCTCTCATCTCTACCTCTCGCCCGGACCGGAGAAGCTTGTATAGTCCACCTGCCACACAGGTGCAAGGCAGCAAGGCAAGCAAGACGACTTTTGAGACGTCTCAAAAGAATATGGCATAGCCCACCTGCCATAGGTGCAAGAGCAAGCAATGTTGGCGTTGCTGTTGAGAATTTTCAGAAGCAGCTCTGTCATAGGTGCAAAGCAAGCAAGCAAGACGCCCGGAGTAGGACGGGCAGTGACAGGTGCATGGGGCATTGGACAGTGACAGTTACAGAATGAATAATCGCTTCTCAGCTAGCTCCTAGGTGCAGATTTTTTACATGTATATATGTATACATGTTAACCAGTGTAAATGTATATTGTACACCTACTCCCATGCCCACACGCTCCCTGCTTACTCGCCCCCACATGTATCCCTCCCTACATCTATCTCCCCCCCCCACATCTACATCCCCCCACATCTACATCCCCCCACATCTACATCCCCCCACATCTACTTCACCCCACATCTACTTCACCCCACATCTACATCCCCCCACATCTACATCCCCCCACATCTACATCCCCCCACATCTACTTCACCCCACATCTACATCCCCCCACATCTACATCCCCCCACATCTACATCCCCCCACATCTACATCCCCCCACATCTACATCCCCCCACATCTACTTCACCCCACATCTACTTCACCCCACATCTACATCCCCCCACATCTACATCCCCCCACATCTACATCCCCCCACATCTACTTCACCCCACATCTACATCCCCCCACATCTACATCCCCCCACATCTACTTCACCCCACATCTACATCCCCCCACATCTACTTCACCCCACATCTACATCCCCCCACATCTACATCCCCCCACATCTACTTCACCCCACATCTACATCCCCCCACATCTACTTCACCCCACATCTACATCCCCCCACATCTACATCCCCCCACATCTACTTCACCCCACATCTACATCCCCCCACATCTACTTCACCCCACATCTACATCCCCCCACATCTACATCCCCCCACATCTACTTCACCCCACATCTACATCCCCCCACATCTACTTCACCCCACATCTACATCCCCCCACATCTACATCCCCCCACATCTACATCCCCCCACATCTACTTCACCCCACATCTACATCCCCCCACATCTACATCCCCCCACATCTACTTCACCCCACATCTACATCCCCCCACATCTACTTCACCCCACATCTACATCCCCCCACATCTACATCCCCCCACATCTACATCCCCCCACATCTACTTCACCCCACATCTACTTCACCCCACATCTACATCCCCCCACATCTACATCCCCCCACATCTACACCCCCCCACATCTACATCCCCCCACATCTACATCCCCCCACATCTACATCCCCCCACATCTACTTCACCCCACATCTACATCCCCCCACATCTACACCCCCCCACATCTACTTCACCCCACATCTACATCCCCCCACATCTACTTCACCCCACATCTACATCCCCCCACATCTACATCCCCCCACATCTACATCCCCCCACATCTACTTCACCCCACATCTACTTCACCCCACATCTACATCCCCCCACATCTACATCCCCCCACATCTACACCCCCCCACATCTACATCCCCCCACATCTACATCCCCCCACATCTACATCCCCCCACATCTACTTCACCCCACATCTACATCCCCCCACATCTACACCCCCCCACATCTACTTCACCCCACATCTACATCCCCCCACATCTACTTCACCCCACATCTACATCCCCCCACATCTACTTCACCCCACATCTACATCCCCCCACATCTACATCCCCCCACATCTACTTCACCCCACATCTACATCCCCCCACATCTACTTCACCCCACATCTACATCCCCCCACATCTACATCCCCCCACATCTACTTCACCCCACATCTACATCCCCCCACATCTACTTCACCCCACATCTACATCCCCCCACATCTACATCCCCCCACATCTACATCCCCCCACATCTACTTCACCCCACATCTACATCCCCCCACATCTACATCCCCCCACATCTACTTCACCCCACATCTACATCCCCCCACATCTACTTCACCCCACATCTACATCCCCCACATCTACATCCCCCCACATCTACATCCCCCCACATCTACTTCACCCCACATCTACTTCACCCCACATCTACATCCCCCCACATCTACATCCCCCCACATCTACACCCCCCCACATCTACATCCCCCCACATCTACATCCCCCCACATCTACATCCCCCCACATCTACATCCCCCCACATCTACACCCCCCCACATCTACTTCCCCCCACATCTACATCCCCCCACATCTACTTCACCCCACATCTACTTCACCCCACATCTACATCCCCCCACATCTACATCCCCCCACATCTACACCCCCCCACATCTACATCCCCCCACATCTACATCCCCCCACATCTACATCCCCCCACATCTACATCCCCCCACATCTACATCCCCCCACATCTACATCCCCCCACATCTACACCCCCCCACATCTACTTCACCCCACATCTACATCCCCCCACATCTACATCCCCCCACATCTACATCCCCCCACATCTACTTCACCCCACATCTACATCCCCCCACATCTACACCCCCCCACATCTACTTCACCCCACATCTACATCCCCCCACATCTACTTCACCCCACATCTACATCCCCCCACATCTACATCCCCCCACATCTACATCCCCCCACATCTACTTCACCCCACATCTACTTCACCCCACATCTACATCCCCCCACATCTACATCCCCCCACATCTACACCCCCCCACATCTACATCCCCCCACATCTACATCCCCCCACATCTACATCCCCCCACATCTACATCCCCCCACATCTACATCCCCCCACATCTACATCCCCCCACATCTACATCCCCCCACATCTACATCCCCCACATCTACTTCACCCCACATCTACATCCCCCCACATCTACTTCACCCCACATCTACATCCCCCCACATCTACATCCCCCCACATCTACATCCCCCCACATCTACTTCACCCCACATCTACTTCACCCCACATCTACATCCCCCCACATCTACATCCCCCCACATCTACACCCCCCCACATCTACATCCCCCCACATCTACATCCCCCCACATCTACATCCCCCCACATCTACATCCCCCCACATCTACACCCCCCCACATCTACTTCCCCCCACATCTACATCCCCCCACATCTACTTCACCCCACATCTACTTCACCCCACATCTACATCCCCCCACATCTACATCCCCCCACATCTACACCCCCCCACATCTACATCCCCCCACATCTACATCCCCCCACATCTACATCCCCCCACATCTACATCCCCCCACATCTACATCCCCCCACATCTACATCCCCCCACATCTACACCCCCCCACATCTACTTCACCCCACATCTACATCCCCCCACATCTACATCCCCCCACATCTACATCCCCCCACATCTACTTCACCCCACATCTACATCCCCCCACATCTACACCCCCCCACATCTACTTCACCCCACATCTACATCCCCCCACATCTACTTCACCCCACATCTACATCCCCCCACATCTACATCCCCCCACATCTACATCCCCCCACATCTACTTCACCCCACATCTACTTCACCCCACATCTACATCCCCCCACATCTACATCCCCCCACATCTACACCCCCCCACATCTACATCCCCCCACATCTACATCCCCCCACATCTACATCCCCCCACATCTACATCCCCCCACATCTACATCCCCCCACATCTACATCCCCCCACATCTACATCCCCCCACATCTACACCCCCCCACATCTACATCCCCCCACATCTACATCCCCCCACATCTACATCCCCCCACATCTACATCCCCCCACATCTACATCCCCCCACATCTACATCCCCCCACATCTACACCCCCCCACATCTACTTCACCCCACATCTACATCCCCCCACATCTACTTCACCCCACATCTACATCCCCCCACATCTACTTCCCCCCACATCTACATCCCCCCACATCTACCTCACCCCACATCTACATCCCCCCACATCTACCTCACCCCACATCTACATCCCCCCACATCTACCTCACCCCACATCTACATCCCCCCACATCTACATCCCCCCACATCTACATCCCCCCACATCTACACCCCCCCACATCTACTTCACCCCACATCTACATCCCCCCACATCTACTTCACCCCACATCTACATCCCCCCACATCTACTTCCCCCCACATCTACATCCCCCCACATCTACCTCACCCCACATCTACATCCCCCCACATCTACCTCACCCCACATCTACATCCCCCCACATCTACCTCACCCCACATCTACATCCCCCCACATCTACCTCACCCCACATCTACTTCACCCCACATCTACATCCCCCCACATCTACTTCACCCCACATCTACATCCCCCCACATCTACTTCCCCCCACATCTACATCCCCCCACATCTACCTCACCCCACATCTACATCCCCCCACATCTACCTCACCCCACATCTACATCCCCCCACATCTACTTCCCCCCACATCTACATCCCCCCACATCTACCTCACCCCACATCTACATCCCCCCACATCTACCTCACCCCACATCTACATCCCCCCACATCTACTTCCCCCCACATCTACATCCCCCCACATCTACCTCACCCCACATCTACATCCCCCCACATCTACTTCCCCCCACATCTACATCCCCCCACATCTACCTCACCCCACATCTACATCCCCCCACATCTACTTCCCCCCACATCTACATCCCCCCACATCTACCTCACCCCACATCTACATCCCCCCACATCTACCTCACCCCACATCTACATCCCCCCACATCTACTTCCCCCCACATCTACATCCCCCCACATCTACTTCACCCCACATCTACATCCCCCCACATCTACTTCCCCCCACATCTACATCCCCCCACATCTACCTCACCCCACATCTACATCCCCCCACATCTACTTCCCCCCACATCTACATCCCCCCACATCTACCTCACCCCACATCTACATCCCCCCACATCTACTTCCCCCCACATCTACATCCCCCCACATCTACCTCACCCCACATCTACATCCCCCCACATCTACCTCACCCCACATCTACATCCCCCCACATCTACTTCCCCCCACATCTACATCCCCCCACATCTACTTCACCCCACATCTACATCCCCCCACATCTACTTCCCCCCACATCTACATCCCCCCACATCTACCTCACCCCACATCTACATCCCCCCACATCTACCTCACCCCACATCTACATCCCCCCACATCTACTTCCCCCCACATCTACATCCCCCCACATCTACTTCACCCCACATCTACATCCCCCCACATCTACTTCCCCCCACATCTACATCCCCCCACATCTACCTCACCCCACATCTACATCCCCCCACATCTACCTCACCCCACATCTACATCCCCCCACATCTACTTCCCCCCACATCTACATCCCCCCACATCTACTTCACCCCACATCTACATCCCCCCACATCTACTTCCCCCCACATCTACATCCCCCCACATCTACCTCACCCCACATCTACATCCCCCCACATCTACCTCACCCCACATCTACATCCCCCCACATCTACTTCCCCCCACATCTACATCCCCCCACATCTACTTCACCCCACATCTACATCCCCCCACATCTACTTCCCCCCACATCTACATCCCCCCACATCTACCTCACCCCACATCTACATCCCCCCACATCTACCTCACCCCACATCTACATCCCCCCACATCTACTTCCCCCCACATCTACATCCCCCCACATCTACTTCACCCCACATCTACATCCCCCCACATCTACTTCCCCCCACATCTACATCCCCCCACATCTACCTCACCCCACATCTACATCCCCCCACATCTACCTCACCCCACATCTACATCCCCCCACATCTACTTCCCCCCACATCTACATCCCCCCACATCTACTTCACCCCACATCTACATCCCCCCACATCTACTTCCCCCCACATCTACATCCCCCCACATCTACCTCACCCCACATCTACATCCCCCCACATCTACCTCACCCCACATCTACATCCCCCCACATCTACTTCCCCCCACATCTACATCCCCCCACATCTACTTCACCCCACATCTACATCCCCCCACATCTACTTCCCCCCACATCTACATCCCCCCACATCTACCTCACCCCACATCTACATCCCCCCACATCTACCTCACCCCACATCTACATCCCCCCACATCTACCTCACCCCACATCTACATCCCCCCACATCTACTTCCCCCCACATCTACATCCCCCCACATCTACTTCACCCCACATCTACATCCCCCCACATCTACTTCCCCCCACATCTACATCCCCCCACATCTACCTCACCCCACATCTACATCCCCCCACATCTACCTCACCCCACATCTACTTACCCCAGCCACACCTACCTCCATGGAGACACTACATGTCGGCTTGCCGTCCCGAGTCACCTTGAAGCGTTGCAACCACTGAAGCACCTCCAAACCTACCCACCCCAGATGCACCTCCCTCCCACACACCTACCTCCATTGAGACACTGCCTGTATCTTTGCCGTCGTGAGTCACCTTAAGGCCTTCGACATTGCGAATCCGGGTGTCTGAACCACCGCATAGAGAGGGATGGAGAGCGGTGAAAGGCGGTGAAGAGTGGTGGCCAGCAGTGGAGAGCGATGATTGGACAAAAGCAATGGAGACAAGTGACTGGCCTAACACACCCTTACCCTCAACTTTGATCAAGTCAGTGGGAGCTACGTTGACAGTGCCAAAACACACAATCTTCCTCACCTCGTCTAACAGTATCATCGTCACTACCTGCCTTGCCTTCTCACTACACACCCTCCTCTGCCCAAAACACCCTCACTGTCACCTTTGATGAGGTCAGTGAGGGAAATGGTGGCTGTGCCAACCACACCACCGTCCTCATCATCAGCATCATCTTCAATACCTGCCTTCTCCCCTCTGCCACACACCTTTGAGGGCAATGGTGGCCGTGCCAACCACACGGTCGTTTCTGTCATCATCGTCGTTGTCAGCATCCCCACCGCGCAAGTTGATCTGTTGATGTGGTGGTGAGGGGCAGAGGGAGAGAAAAGGGGCAAAAAGAGAGTAAGCTGATTGTCGTAGGCATCCTTGTCATGCAAGGCGATCTGTTGATTGCGCGGTGAGGGGGCAGAGAGAGAGAAAGACAGGTTGTCGCGATTGCCATTTGAAATATCCCCAACATCATCACCATCACCAGCATCATCACTCTCACCAGCATCATCACTCTCATCAGCATCATCACTCTCATCAGCATCATCACTCTCATCAGCATCATCACTCTCACCAGCATCATCACTCTCATCAGCATCATCACTCTCATCAGCATCATCACTATCATCAGCATCATCACTCTCATCAGCATCATCACTCTCATCAGCATCATCACTCTCATCAGCATCATCACTCTCACCAGCATCATCACTCTCATCAGCATCATCACTCTCATCAGCATCATCACTCTCATCAGCATCATCACTCTCATCAGCATCATCACTCTCATCAGCATCATCACTATCATCAGCATCATCACTCTCACCAGCATCATCACTATCATCAGCATCATCACTCTCATCAGCATCATCACTATCACCAGCATAATGGATGGTGGACAAACCATTATTGTAACAATGACCAGAATGGGTCCAAGAAACGCAATCAGGTCAAGGATAGTGAGAGCAGGGATTTCCAACACCAGCATCAGAAGAGGAAGATTCACCTAGGGCCAACAGAGCACCACATGGGGCTGGGACCAACAGAGAACCACCTGGCGGATCACCTGAGGATAACCACCTGAAGAAGGGTGCCAGATGCAGCAGCACGAGGCACCAGCAGCTGCAGTTGCTCGGGCCACGATGGGTTCTTCGGGCTGAAAGGAGAAGCATGGAGGGGGGATGGGGGGGAGGGGTTAGGCAGGTGCTGGGCAGATGAATTCTGGGCATGTGACTTTTGGAGTTTTTGTGAGCATAAACGTGAGAACGAATGGGAGGATGAATGTGCGACGAGTGGAGTGGAGCATGCTATGTGTCCATCCGTCCATGCGAGTACGCCTGGGCTGGGCAGCACATGGGAGCCGGCTGAAACTAGAACATTCATGCTGTGGTTGACGCCATTGTGCGAAGGAATTTCCAAAAGACGAATGTGAGAATGACTGTGAGATTGCGATGAGTCCATGCGAGTATGGCAGGCCAACACAGGCGCCAGCTCACTCATCAGCCGTGCTGCTGCAAGCGACGCCATTCCACGTGGCTGCCTTCCCTGCTGGCGTCACCAGCGTCAGCTCAGCATGGCACGCCTTGATTTTCCCCTGGAGGATGGAGGATGGGGTGAGAGGGATCAGGATGGAGAGTATTGGTTTGTACAAGTGAGTAAGTGAGTGAATGAGAGGGCTGATGGAGTGAGTGAGTGAATGAGTGAGTGAGTGAACGAGAGGGTTGAATGAGTGAGTGAGTGAGTGAAAGTGAGTGATTGAGAAAGTGAGTGAGCGAGTGAGTGAATGAGTGAGCGAGCTGTCTTACAGGCGGAAGTCCTCTCACGGGGAACAGCACGAATGCAACAAGCTCGAGAGCAGTGCATGCACGGAGAGCTGCCCTTGTAAGAGCTCGAGGACCAAAGGTGTCGAGGTGAAGAGAGGTGAAGAGAGGTGAAGAGAGGCGAAGAGAGGTGAAGAGAGGTGAAGAGAGGCGAAGAGAGGTGACGAGAGGCGAAGAGAGGTGAAGAGAGGTGAAGAGAGGTGAAGAGAGGCGAAGAGAGGTGAAGAGAGGTGAAGAGAGGTGAATGAGTGAGAAAAGGGTTGAGTAGGTGGGTAGGAGATCGAGGGAGCAAGTGTGGTAGTGTGGTATGACGACATACCATGGCCTTCAGTCCGCGCACGGAGAGCTGCCCCTGAAAGAGCTCTTGCCCAAAGGGCGTGGAGGTGAAGAGAGCAGCGCACGCCTGCCCGTCCTTATCCGATAGCTTGTCACTCCCCTGTGGGTACAGGGAGGATGAGAGATGGGAAGTTCTTGAGATAGAAATTAGAGCACTACCACCCATCTATGTATACGGAACATCACTTCTGTAATTATTATTATTATTATGATTAGTATTATTATTATTATTTATTATTATTAGAATTATTATTTGTTTTTATTATTACTACTTTACTATTATTATTATTATTATCAATGTTACTATTATTGTTGCTGTGTTTTTTATTCCTACTACTACTGTTTCATCCATCACGTGTTCTCAACAACTTTTGAGACCTCTCAAAAGCTTCAACATTGCACCCAATCGTGTCCTCAATTCCCCCTTCCCAAGTCCACAGCCCACTGCCTCAACCCTCCACCATTCCCCCTGCCTTCCTTTCCTTCCTCCATTGACCCACTCTTACAGTGGGAGTCGAGTACGCCTCAAACGCGAATCTGCCCAGCAGCACGGCCAGCCGCAGGTCGAACGGCACGCCTTGCGCCACGATTCCCGCCGTCACTCCCGTTGTGAGCGGGCTCCCCTTCCCCTCCGCCGCAGCCGCCTTAGACGACCCGGAGCTCGTCAGCGCGTCTGTAATCACCGACGCCCTGCCGCCGGCCGAGGCGCCACGATCGGCGCCGGGCGTCCCGCTGCTGCTGGCGGAGGCGGACGGGCCGCGGAGCGGAGTCGCCATTGGCGGGCGGCTGCCGCGCGTCACCGCAGACCTCGGCGCGGCGGAGAGGCGGAGGCCGCCATAGGAGGAAGTCAAGCTGCAAAAGGGGAAGGACTCGTCGTTGTGAAATTGAAGATGGAAGAATTCGACTTGAATTAACCATTTGGCAGATTTGCGGTGGAGGCGGGATTGCGGAAAGCCAAGGTGATGATTTGGCTGGAAGGTCACGGACTGCTTGGACGATTGAGGCGCCTCAGAACCGGTGATATTTCTTAGGGATACGCAGAGCAGTTCTAATTCTGGCGTATATCGAACGCAAGCTCGTATGAAGCCTAGTAATAACGTAAGAACAAGGAGGGCATTGGTTTTGTAAGGACTGACAGACGGCTTAGAACCTGAGTCTAAGTCAGGCTTGTAGACGCCCTATTGCTCGGTCGTGCTCTTACAAAGCAACCGCTCCTGGGCGGCAGCAATTTCACAGGCTAACTGATTAGCTACAATGTTGACGCTGTTAAGCTTGACAATGTTGACAATTACGTTCAAACATGCAACCTGCATCGAGCGACAACAGAATTTGTTCGGGTGGATGGAGGAGGATTGTAATACCATGAGAGAGACAACTTGTATCGGGGATGGCGATCCAGTGGGGCCCTGAGACCAGCAAAGGGAGCGAGCGACACGGAGGCAGCATGGAACGACGCCATGGCGTGAAAGCTGTCTGTTGGACACGAGGATTTTCCAATGAGTGCGAACCCTTCGTTCCAGAATGTGCGTCTGATCCGAACTACGGATTAAGCTTGAGTAATGGATGCGGAACCTGAGTGTTGTGAGGGGGACTTTCCCCTCGGGGAATTTCCGTTATCGCTTTCACAGTACAGTACTTTGAGGACTTGGGGAATGGGGGGGGTGCTGATCGGCGGATTGCATTCCGCCGTCACGACGCGCGTAATGTGTAACTTTCGATTGCTGCTCGCTCACCCAAGGTGGGCCATTTTGCATTGCTGCCGCGTAATGTGGGGCAGGGAGGATGAACTCCCCCCACAACGAGGTACGTGCATGCATGGTGCCTGCCGGCGACTGACGTGGCGAGATGTCGTACTGGTTGCGAGGCGTAGCGACAAAATAATTCCTATTACTGTGCATCGCATCGCCATTTGCTGGTTGCAGCCAAAAATGGATTCCCTATTGGCGACTGCCACTGCCAGGGATGATAAGAGATATGAATTCTGAAACTTGCTGGGAGATTGCCGGGGTGGGGAACGGCGGAAGCGAAAATCTCATGAGGAAGTATTCTCCTATTCGTACACCGCACTATCTGTAGCGCGTAAAATCCGCCGACCGAGGTGTTTGCGAGGCGTCGACAAAAGAATGCCTAATGGACTGCCCAGGAGCGGGGGAAAGCCGGCCGTGTAGATGCATCGCATTGCCCTCATTAGCTACTGCCAAAAATGGATACTCTGTTGGTGACTGCCACTTCCTGCCAGTGCCTAAATCTGGATAAGAGTGATCTTGATTCTGAATTAGGGACTTTCGCTGAATGGCCGCTGAGATGGCTGCTGAATGAGTGGTGGTGAATGGCTGGCTGCTTCTGAAAGGTTGCTAAATCTGGAGGAAACGGAAATGTGGTACAATCGAAGTAGACTTTCCGCTGGAGGAGATATTTCCTTCCGCGCGCACTTGGCTCGGGTTCGAGTGGGGGGGGTGCTCGTTAGCGGGGAAAAGTGGTGTCGCCAAAGGGAGGCTGGCGGGAGGGAATCGGAGCGGGTTTGGTGTGCATGGAGGGGGGGGATGGGGGGAGACTGGATGAGGTTCTGCCCGCGCAGTTTCAAATATGAATTCGGCCGCCAAAATTCAACGAATTCCATTGGCTACCAAGGCACTGTCTGTCACACTGACACATGAGGGACTGATCCTCCTAGGAGAATTCGGAATAAAAGTCTGTTTACTGAGCACAACGTATAAAATGTAAGATAAAGACAATGCATTAGGTAACAGTATTTTTCCAAGGCAGCTAGCACAATAGACCCCTACAGTGCCCTTGCCTGAAACGCATTCCCTTGCCTGAAACGCATTCCCTTGCCTGAAACGCATTCCCTTGCTCCTTCTCACCTGCAGCAGCGACACCCTATCCCCAACAATCGCCGTCTCCCCAATCACCACGCCCGTACCATGGTCCATCAGGATGCATCTGCTACTACCTAGCATGCACACGACAGCTGCACCGCACTCAACCTCTACACATCACATTGATCTCTCCTGCTCTCACCTGCAGCAGAGATACCCTATCCCCAACAATCGCCGTCTCGCCAATCACCACCCCCGTGCCATGGTCCATGAGAATGCCTCGCCCGATGCGGGCGGCTGGATGGATGTCCACTGCAAACACCTGTGGGGATTATGGGGGTGGTGGGATGTGGGGGGAGGAGGGGTGTTAGGGTTGGGAGGGTGTGGGGTGTCATGACATAGACGCCTGTGCCATGGTCCATGAGAATGCCTCGCCCGATGCGGGCGGCTGGATGGATGTCCACTGCAAACACCTGAGGGGATTAAGGGGATGTTGGGATGTGGGGGGAGGAGGGGTGTTAGGGTTGGGAGGGTGTGCCATCACATTGATGCATCCGTCAGAATGCCTCGCCCAATGTGTGCTGCTGGGTGGATGCCTTGCCCCACATTGTTGCTGCAGCTGGAGACTGACTGTAAGCAAGTGCATTCGTGCACAAAACCCTACCTACCTCTGAAATGCGAGACTGCAGGGCAAGCGCCTTGGTGCGCTGGCCCCAAATCCACACAGTCCTGAGTCGTCCTACAGAGTTGTGAGCACGTACCTCTGAGATGCGGGATTGCAGGGCGAGTGCCAGGATGCGCTGGCCTCGGTTCCACAAGGCATGGGCGATGCAGCATGAGTACATTACAATGCCTCAAGGGGGGCTAAATTGCTGGGGCAAAACCCATTGGTATCTGTGCCTCCTACCTCCGAGATGCGAGACTGCAAGGCGAGTGCTAGGATGCCCTGGGGCCTAGCCTCGGTTCCACAAGGCATGGGCGATGTGGTATGACTGCAATGCGGTGTATTTTGAGGCGCCTCAAAATACACCTAGCCTTGGTTCCACAAGGCATGGGCGATGTGGTATGACTGCAATGCCATGCCTCAACCGTCGGTAAGCTCCACTGGGGTAAAGCCCACTGGTATCCGTGCCTCCTACCTTTGAGATGACTTTTGAGACGTCTCAAAAATCCACTGGAATCTGTGCTTCCTCCTACCTCGGATATGCGGGACTGCAGGGCGAGTGCCAGGATGCGCTGGCCTTGGTTCCACAAGGCATGGGCGATGCGGTATGACTGCAGCGCGTGATAACCCTGGGGGATTGGTCAGTGGCGGGGGGAAAGGGAGGAAGTGAGAGGGCCATGGGAGACAGACAGATGAGCAGAGTCAACGGGGTCAATGCGTGGGCGATGCGGTATGACTGCAGCGCGTGGTAACACCCTGAGGGATGGGTTGGCCAATGAGAAAAAGAGAGCAATTGTTAGTGAGTGAGATGGGGGTGACTCAGGGAGGGCAGAAGGGGAGGCGGGCAAGGAGGAGCGAGGATAGGAAGGGGTGGTTAGAAGAATCTCGTCATAAACAAATATATATCCACATTAAAAAAAAAAAAAACCTGCTCCTCTATATGCCACCGTTTTTCATCGTTCCACACCACACCCAGCACCTCCCAGCACCAACCACTCTCATTACCATGCAGTAACACCACCCACCTTGTAGTATAGGAGGGTGTTGGAGTGCTGCAAGCACATTGCATCGTACCTCCCAGTACCACTCTCCTGCTCCAACTCTCTCTCTCTCTCTCTCTCTCTCTCTCTCTCTCTCTCTCTCTCTCTCTCTCTCTCTCTCTCTCTCTCTCAAATGGTCCTTAGTAATAATTCAGCGGGGGTACAAACATACGGTTTGACTCGTGGCTCCCTTAGACCCTCTGACCCATTGACCCATCCCTCTGACCCTCCTCCCCCCTAAGTGACCCTCTACCCCTCCAGCGTGTGGAGGATGTCCCCTAGGTGCAGCGGCCATGGGTCTGCTGCCATCTGGGGGTGCGCCGCCTCGATCCCTGCCCTGGCCTTGGTGTGCAGGGCATTTGCTTGAGAGCGCTGGAGGGCCACTGACCAGCGCTGGCTGAAGTGGCAGGCCATTTTCTTGGCGGTTTTCGCCAAGGGATTGGCCCTGAAGCGGTTCCTAGCTGCTGCTGTGGCCAGCAGCTTCATGAACGCCGTTGTGGGGGGTGCGTTTGCCCCGTAGGTCTCAACAGCTAGGGCGCAGAACACCACGTGTTTTGTGTGCCTGTAGTAGTCCCGTTCCTTCCTTTTCTGAGCCTCCCTTGCAGCCCATCCAGGGGGTTTGCGGGCTGCTGGGTCACGGTTCTGTAGCACGGGGTCAGTGATGGTCGTGTCTGTGATCCATGTCTCACCACTGTCTGGGTCGCGTACAATCACATCTGCCTTCTTCGGGTCATCCGGTGGTGAGTACATCGCGTTCTCAAGGTATACCACCAGCTGTGCCTCCCTCGCCATTTTAGCCACGGCGAAAGCCAGCTGGTTGTGTGTGCGTGTTCTGTCAGGGCCTGTGCTGCAGCGGAGTAGGTGGTTGGGGAGGCTGCAGTCGGCTACGAGCTCTCCACACTCGCACACGGTGGGTACGTTCTGTCGGATGCCCATGCGGAAGGCCAGGGCTGTTCGGAATTGCCCTGGTGAAAAGCAGAGGTCTGGGGTCAGGGGTAGGGCCTGCAGCCATGCCCCCGCTCCCTCACCTCTCAGGCTGACGAGGCGGAGTGTGTGCCCCAACTCGGGGGCAGACCTGATTGCGCGTGATTCCTCTGTCAGGCCGTCGGCTTTTGCCGCATGTACTTCCTGGGAAAGGGCGCGCTGCAGCTGGTCTTGGGACGGGGATTCCTGTTCCCCGCGGAGGATTTGCAGTGCCAGTGGTGGCAGTCGTCCCTCCATGTCTTGGATGGTGACCGAGTGTGCTGCCGACG